GGGGATCGAACTCACGACTGCCTGCTTGCAAGGCAGGCGCTTATGCCGCTGAGCTAAATCCCCAGCCCCTGGCTCTGTCTCTTTCTTATTCACACAGAATGCCTTCTCCTCCAGGTAGCCCACGGTTTCAGCAATGCTGCTAGAACTGTGACTTCCCCAATGTCTAGACTAGAGCCTATAGCATATTGTAGGACAGCCAGATGAGGATGCCCTGTAGTCCAAGCATCTAGTATGGTTTCCAAGAGAACTGGTGTTTAGCTATATGGTTAACAAGGCCATGTTTTCTTTCTTTGCTTAGAGTCTGTGATCTATTGATTACCTATATTTTCCTTTAAATCATCTATTTATTTATAATGGCTGCATTAGAAACTTCTCTGTGACATCTGAGTATTGTACAGTTGGTTTCAATGGACCTTTTCTCCTTCAGTATGGGACTTGATTAGCCACATGTATTTTTCATTTCTTGAGATAGTGTCTTGCTATACAGTTCAAACTTGCAGTGATCCTCCTGCCCCAGCCTCTTGAGTACCAGGATTACAGGTTTGCACCACCATGTCTGGCCCTCCACATGTATATTTTAAAGTGGATATTGTATGTTATAAAAGGCACATTGGAGAGGTTCAGAGCTTCATTACTTCCTCTGAAGAGTGATTTTTATTTTAATAGGCAGTTAGTTTGGCTGAGCTCACATCTTGCCCACAGCCACAGGATTTTAGTAGTAGCTGAAATAGTAATTTTCACAACTACCAGCTTTGTTTTTTATTTGGGGTCTAAGGTCTCTTAAAGTGAACGGTGATTAGCTGAACATCTGAGTAGATTCTAAGTGCAAATTTTGAGGCTCAGCCCTTCTGTCCAGTTTTCCACCTAACTTCTTAATCGTGTTGCCAGATCCAGGCTCTGTTATTTGATACTTTGAGCAAAGTATAGCTCAAAAGGTAACAAACAGAAGTGTAGCCCAGTGTAGTGATACAGGCTTGTAATCCCAGTACCTGATGGGCTGGAGCTCGAGGATGGCAAGTTTGAGGCCAATCTTAGCTCCCCAGTGAGTTCCAGGCCAGCCAGAGCTACACAGCTACAACCTCTCACAAACCAACCAACCAACCAACCTAAAACCAAGCAATTAAAGGAAAAGAGGCAGGAAATAAAAAAAGGCCTATTTACATGCTATGAAGAGATGCATCACAGTAACAGTCTAAATGTCAAACCTAGACTACTGGGTTAGGATCTTGAAATATCTGGTCCCATTTAAAATTCTTGACCAAGGGCCTCTAGTGTGCCCTTAATGTCCCCGAGCACTTTTACTTCATTTCTGTAATCTATTAATATTTTTATTTTCTTGGACAGCTACTTCTTTCTTCTTTTTCAAGCAATGAACAGGTTTGACATTTGAAAACGTAAAAGTGAAGCATGAGGGAGAAACTGGTTCTGCAGAGTGACTCTGGGCTGAATAAAAGAGGAAAATGCAAGATACAAGTACACCCTGTGGGAAGTGGGGCAGAATATTGTGAAGAAAGCTATCTCGAGCTCTTCTTGGTGTCTGTCCTTTTATACTGTCCAAATCTTGGGGGAACCCACGAGCACTCCAGCTCACTTTTCCAAGTGTTGGTGGCTTCCTCACTGTTCCTCAAATTCCTCAGAAAACTCCTGCATTAAATAGTGATTCACTTGTCTGGAATTCATATAATTTAGGTAATATGTGTAATACACAAAATGCGCATTACAAATTGCATATTTATAATAACCCATTATGCCTATTTCTGATACCTGAATAGAAGCTAAGTCCCGCAAGAGCAGGGAATAATAAAAATGTACTATTTTAAAGGGATATTGCCTGTTATTTGAAGGCTGAACTTTTTTGTTTTTGAGACAAGGTCTTGCTATGTGGTTCAAGCTGGCCTTAGGCTCACTTTGTAGCCAAAGCTGGTCTCGAATGTGCAATCATCTGCTTGCCTCTGCCTCCCGAGTGCTGGGATTACAGCAGTGCGCCACCATGCCTGGCTCTAACACTCCTGACAGGAATTGTGTGGGGCCAGGCATGATGATGCACACCTAAAATCTTAGCACTGCAGGAGGCTGGGGTAGTAGGAACACATACTTGAGCCTGTCTTGGGCAACTTTAGTGAGAGCTTGCCTCAAAATAAGAAAAAGGGATAGGGGTTATAGTTTAGTATTAGTGCCTGGAGTTCCATCTCCAGTACAAAAAATTTTTTAATCTCCAGTATGAAAAATTGTAGGTACCCTACAATTCAGTTCCAACACTACCTGGAATTAGTGCAGACTACTCAGCTCCTATCAGACTGCTCTCACTTCAGAGGAGTCTCAAATGGGGTGTCCAAGGTACTCACACTTCTGCTGAGCCAACTACAAATTTAGGGTCTCCCTTATCATTCTCAGGTTCAACAATTTGCTAGAATGACTCACAGAATTGAGGAAAACGTTTTATTTCTTCTGTGTTTTTTTGAGGCAGGGTCTCACCATGTAGTTCAGGCTGGCCCTGAGTTCACCACATGGCCCAGGCTGACCTTTAATTCCTATTGCTCCTGCCTCAATGCTGGGATTCACAGGCTCGTGCCAGAAGGCCCATCACTTTACTGTCTATAGGTTGTGTATCCCTTATCTCACATGGTAGGGACCATAAGTGTTTTGGACTTTTTCAGATCTTAGAATATCTGCGTATGCATCAGGTATCTTCTGGATGGACCTAAGTATAAACATGACATTCATGTCTCACACAGCCCTTATACATACAATGTGAAGTAATCTTATATATATTTTAGTGTACCTGCCTTTTGACTGTCCCCACCCATCATATAAAGCTGGGTATAGATTTTCTCTTGTGGTATCATGTTGCCACTTAAAAGTTTTAGATTTTGGAGCATTTTGGGGATGTACTATGGTTTGGATTTGGTTGTCTCCCAGGGAACATTACGTTCAAGGCCTGGTCCTTATTGTGACAGTGCTGAGCTGGTGGGGCTTCTAAGAAGTTGGGCATAGGTCTCTAGGCCACCGAGAGACTAGCTGCTGTCTTGCATCTTGACAGGTGATACCATGGCTTTGTCCCACACACTCTTGGCACTGCCATCACCTGATGTGACGCTGTCAACAGATAAGGCAGTGCTAACACCATGGCCTTGAACCTCCAAAATTGGGAGCTAAGCAAACCTTTTCTTTATCAAGTTAGCCTACCTCAGGTTATTTCACTATAGCAATGAAAGCAGACTAAAACAGGACGTGTTTACATCAAGTTAATCACCAATTACGTACAGGGTATGGCTTAGGAAAAGCCAAGTGGAAGAGATGCACAGGATGAAGTACAGGGTCCAGGAGGTGCATAGAGCTTCTATGCCTTCTCTGAGAACTGTTTTCCCAGCACCTCTGTGTGTTCACCAACCTGGAAGCCTCTGGAATCCTGCTGTTGAGGGTTTTATAAAGGTTTAATTAAACGGGCATGATTAAATCATTACCACTGGTGATTAACTCAGTCTTCAGCTTCTTCTCCCCAGGAAGGTCAACCAGGTAGACATCTTAAAAAAATGAATCCATATATTATTCCTTAGAATGAATTCCAAATGATTGAAAGTCAAATATGAATAACAACATCACATGTGTGCCTGGGCACACCCACCCACCCACCCACAAGGAAAACCTGGGGATTAAAAATTCTGCAGATTTAAGGGAAAATAGGAAACAACAAAAACCTCCATACCCAAAAGATTTTCAGAAAAGTCAAACAGAGATAACAAGGTAGAAAAAAATATTTGTAGCTTATATCACAAGATATTATCATACCTATCACTAGTACATAACGAACTACTAGAGTCAATAAAGAAATGACAAACTATTTAGAAAAATGGACAAAGAATATGGAAGGACAGTTCACAGAAAAAGATAAACGATTCTTAAATTTAGCATCACTTAAAAGAGAAAAGCAAATTTAAAATATTCCACTTTTTTCAACTATCAAATTGGTAAGACCCATATATTAATAGTTTAGCATTGGTTAAACAGCAAGAAAATTACCACATTTATTAATTGCTCATGGGTGCATAAAGTGATAGAAGGCAACTTAGCAATACCTATAAAATTTCAAATGAGTATTTTGGCCCAGAATTCTTGTTTCTGTAAATTCATCTTGTATATACTTTTTTTTTTTTTTTTTGGTCTTTTTCATTTTTATCGGTACTGGGGATCGAACTCATGACCGCCTGCTTGCAAGGCAGGTGCTTATGCCACTGAGCTAAATCCCCAGCCCCAATCTTGTATATACTTAAAGAAGAATCTCAGCTATTCGTTTTAAGATGCATAAGTTTTATGCAAACCTCAGGAAAAATACTGCATTACACCATCAAATGTAATCTGAGATTTTCAAACATGAAAAGTGCATTTAGAATTGAAGCCGTCCTATATCTGCGTACATGCCACACGATATGCACAGAAGATGAACTAGTATAAGCCATTACTTTTTTTGCCAATATTAAATGATATGAAGCAACTAAATGACCATCAATATATTTCTGGTTAGTAACAACATATCAACAGAATGGAAAGAAAAGCAGCTCTAAAAAATAAGGAAGCATAGAGGCTGGGGATTTAGCTCAGCGGCAAAAGCGCCTGCCTTGCAAGCAGGCAGTTGTGAGTTTGATTCCTGGTACCGATAAAAAGGAAAAAGACAAAAAAAAAAAAAAAAAAAGAATCCTGGGGAACTTAAGAGAGTTCTCACTGACCCTGGGATGGTTTTGCAAAAAATAAGGAAGCATAGCGATTTGGAAGGATCTTAATGAAATATGCCAACTTTCGTGAAGAAATGAAAAAAAAAAAATCCAGATTTACATTTGCTGTGTAAACAGAATGAAAACAACAGAAAAGGAACTGTGGTTACTGACAGAAGTTATGTCAGGTACCAGATGAAGGGGGATGAGGATGGAAGGTGGCACTGTATATTTTACATTCTTGGGGGCTAGTGAATAGATGACTTAAATGAATGAGAGAAAAATCGGAAATTTGATATTTTTGAAGACACACTTTATCATGGAATATATACAACATTTACTTTGCTTGCCATTTGACATGCCGCAGGAAACAGAAAGTTAGCCTGACACTAAAAACTTTTGATGTATATGAGACAAAAAGAAAGGGCATATTTCGACAACATCAAATTCTTCCCACGGTCTTTCAGAGCTAAAAACAGCTGTAACTCTTATTCTTATAATCACTATCTGATGTCTTTCTTTATCATGGGCTTTAATACTGACGCGTTTTCTTCATCAAGTCTCAGTTTCATAAAGCCCTCCTTTACTTTTTAACGAAGTCAGGTTGAAGAGACATTTTCTGTAATGCAGAGGAAAGAACCTGGATCCATCACAGGGTCTAAGAACATTCCAGGAACCTGACAAAGGCTTTCCACATTTTAAATATTTTCTGGTGCTTTTTCATGGTAATTCTTCCTTGTTCTCCAAATGTGTACTGTCTCATTCCCAATACACCTGGACTGTTCAAAATCAAGTTGCAGGAATGCTTTGACACGAATGCAGAGGCGGTTTTGGTGTTGCTGCGTCACTTTTTTTATTCTCTGTTGATAAACCTATCACAACCAAGTTCTTCTATCAGAGGATTGATAACTTCAGATGCAGTCAGAGCTATGGTAAATGTTAAAATGTCAAAATCCACCCGCTGAGGATTACGCATATACTCCGCATCAAAAGCTGCTTCTCTGGCTCTGCAAGCTTCGACAAATCGCCTGCGGCGCTCTTCAAGCTCCTGGATTCTGCCCGGGGCGATCGGGTAATTTTCCAGATATTGGCGGAGGAACTGTTGGTAATTAATTCCCAAAACGCTCAGGGGGTGACGGAGGCGGAGATACGGCAACGCAGCCAGGCTCCCGGCGTTGCCGGCTCTGGACCGGGGCCTGTTCTCAGGACCCTCTTCCTCCAGGGGCTCCCCCAACAATCGGGCGACCTCTGCCATCCGGGCTTCCCTGGATACCGCCCCCATCTGGCCTTCCCGGGCCGCCGGTCTCCCGCGGGCCGCCGCCGCTGCCGGTGCTTCCCGGGCCGCCGCCGCCGCCGCCGGGGGTCCCCTAGGCGCCGCCGCTTGGGCTCCCCTGGCCGCCGCCGCCACCGAGGTGCCCCTGGCCGCTGCCGCCGCGGTCCCCCTGGCCGCCGCCGGGCCTCCCCTGGATGTCGCTACTGGGCCTCCTCTGGCAGCCGCCAACGGGCCTCCCCTGGCCATCGCCACTGGGCCTCTCCGGGCCGCCGCTGCCGCCACCGGGCCTCCCCGGACCTCCTCAGGCCGCATCTGGGCCGGGCCCCGCCTCCCGCCGCCTACCTCCGCCGGAGGGAAGCCGTCTTCGCCATCCGTGGCGACCGTCTGTAAGACAGTGATCTCTATGGGCTGCTGGGACATCTCTGACCGCAGGGTCTGTTCGGCCGCTACCAGAAAAACTGGAACAACGGGACAGCGCGACTAACGGTGTGCACACAACTGCATGCACGCGAACGCAACGCGCACCTGCGACTGCTGTGTGCCCAAGCGATGCGCAAGCGTCCAGGCCGCTGCGAAGCCTGCGCATGCGTATTAGCTGGGCGCCCTCGGCCTCCGGATGCCGCCTAGTGGCCAGAAGTGCCAACGCATCTGGAACCGCGAACAGCGAAGGTCGGGCCCGTGATTCACATTTGTAACAGTTTAATATTTATAAGAAAATTTTTACAAGATTATTTCCTGTAGGCATTCTCAAGGGCTCATCCTCGGATGCTTATAAATTATCTGTTCCCCAGTGGTTATAATGGCACTGGTGTTATGTACCAGAATATTCTAGATTTATGGTCTATTTAAGGAGATCCTTATTTCCCCCCACTGATTCATCTATTTTCAATCACATCAATTATTTAAGCGTTATAATAACATACCTTCTTATAATTTAAAAAATTTTTGGCTACATCCGGAAATTAATGTTTTTCAAAATCTTATATGAGCGATATAAGACGGGCAGAAAAGTGAACAATACTTAAGTAGATAGAGCAGGACACACCTCCATTTAACTACCACTCAGGCCAAGAAACTGAACATTTCCAGTATTCCAGAATCTTCCCTCCTCTTCTTATTACTGGCATATCCCTTCTGCCTAAAGGTGACTGCTATCTTAAGTTTATGATTATAATTCTTCGTTTTTCTTTTGTTCTACCACCTAAGGGTGCATTTCTAATACTGCAGTTTGGTTTTATCTATTTTTTGAGTTTTATAAAATTTCTGTCTCTTTTATTTATTTACTTATTTTTGGCTTTTTCCTTTTTATCGGTACCAGGGATTGAACTCATGACTGCCTGCTTGCCAGGCAGGCGCTTATGCCGCTGAGCTAAATCTCCAGCCATGTCTCTTTTAAGTAATGAGCATTATTTTTCTGAGATTCATTCATGTTTGTCATTATGGTTATAATGGTTCATTTTTTGAGAGTTACATATTCAGCACTAATCTTTTCATGTGTCCTATCATATTACAAATACATCTTAAACCGGCTCTCCATATACTTCCTACTTATTGAAATGATAGTGAAAAGCATCACATAAGGAAATTCCACCTTTGATGTTGTTGATGGAACAATACAGTGCTTCACAAGCACCAGCAAATAAGTTCAGTGACTCATTGTGCTCTTCTTTCTTGGGAGTGAGCCGTTCTGTGACATTAAGGTTTCATCCACAGGTCACCAGCATGCATTTTTATTTCCTTGATCCACAGACCTATTATATAGAACACGACAGCCAGCCAGCCCACTAGCATCTCTGCAATCACTGAACACAAAAGTGGCTCCTTTAAGGCAGCTCCCAGGTTAGGCTGGGGACAGAAGATCTATTGTTCCCAATCCTCTGGCTGCCTGCAGAATCACTAATGTTTAACAAAGGAATTCCCAGATTTCAGTATTGAAGTGTATCACTAAAGGAGGAACTAGAAATTGCAGAGATTTGTTATATTCCTATGGATGCAGATATAAATCCTGCCTCTGACACTAAAAGTCACCTTGTAGCAAATGGTAACAGGCCTTCTTCTTTTCTAAGAGTAGAAATGTCTCTGAGTAAGATTGTGGTTTGTTAAATTGAGAAGTTACAAGGGTATGGCTCAGTGGTATGGTGGTACTGCACTTACCTAGCATGTATAAGGCACTGGGTTCTATGCCCAGCACCACACACACACACACACACACACACACACACACACAATTGTTCTAGGATAATGAAGTCAACCTTAATGAGAAATTTTAGATAGAAGGTAGCAAAAAACTTGATAATGTGGAGAGACAAGAATCTAAGATAAATTCTAGGTTAATTGTAGTGACCACAACATCTTCTTTTCTGTGACTCATGGTTGGTATTTTGGGATCATTTGAAGATAGTCTCAGTCACGAAGCAGACTAAACAATTAAGCAGATGATGACGGGGGGGCCTCCGCATAGCTTAAAATTTAGAGGGCAAAGAGAAAATTTAAATCCACAGTCATACAGTTAACATTTCAAAAGAGAAGATGAAAATTTCTAAGGAAAGGTACAGGTTTGCTACTAGAAAAGTGTGTAAATCCTATGATGAGCAGCAGTGTTGGGGAAATTTGTCTTCACCGCCAAGAGGCTCATGCAGCTGGTGAAGCTTGCCTTCTCCAGGTGCCCACTACAAGACCTTGCTGGATGACAAAATGACATCTCCACATAGTCCTTTCTAGTGCTGAGATGTTTCATCTGATCAACCACAAATACTGGGCAGATAAGGAATTGCAGTGAAAGGTTTTTGCCCCAGATGGGACATTGTAGCCAGTGAAACCTTGGAGGTGGAACTAAGGGGCTCTATCTTGAGGTCACCTTTTCCCGCCCCTAGGCAATTTACCTGTGGCATGAAATGAATACCCATGGGCTACCTGTGCATCACTAATGCCTCTTGCACCACCCCAGACCTAAGCTACAAGTATGCCCCCACACCACGTGTCTGGTGGAGAGAATGCCAGCCCCCGCCCCGGAGGTCATGGAGTCACTCCCTACATTCTTAAAATAAAGCCCTGTTTTATTTTATACTTCTTATCTTTTAGCTGTGCTGAAAATCCTATCAGATTGGTTTGGGTTCCTTTCCCAGGAGCCTCTTTTTTTTTTTTTTTTTTTTTGTCTTTTGAGACAGGGTTTCGCTATGCAGTTCAGGCTGGCCTTGAGCTCACTTTGTAGTGCAGGCTAGTCTGGAACTCGCAACAATCCTGTCTCAGCCTCCCGTGTGCTGGGATTACAGGCATGAGCCACCATACCTGGTGAGCCTCTTTCCTAATCATGACCATTGTTCCCCCTTTTTTCAGCATTAGGTATCAGGCACTACTCATTATACTTTATTTTTTAAATCAGATTTTATTGATATATATCAATATCTGTCTATCTATATATACATAATGATCACATTCATCATAGAGAATTTGTGCCTGTACATGATATAATTTAATTATTATTTTTTCATAATTTTTTTTTGTCTTTTTCATTTTTATCAGTACTGGGGATCGAACTCACAACCGCCTGCTTGCAAGGCAGGTACTTATGCCGCTGAGCTAAATCCCCAGCCCCAATTTAATTATTTTTATTCATTATACTTTTTTCTTTTTGTACTGGGGTTTGAACTCACAACCTTGTGTTTGCCAAGCAGGCACTTAGATCCCCCCCATTCATTATACTTTAAAGGTCATGTTATGGATCAGATTATGCTCCCAGCCTCCAAATCACTATATTGATGGCCTTCTTCCCAAATGTGACTGTATTTGACCTTTGAGGGGATAATTAAGGTTAAAAATGAGATCATTAGGGTGGGATCCTAACCCAGTAAGAATGACGTCCTTATAAGAAGAGAAAGAATTGCTTCTTAATTTGTGAAGACACTTTAGAAGGAAATGTAACAAACTACTCTCTGTAATTATCTGCGGGTTTGGTGGGACCTGGTGGAAAGGAAAGAGGCAGGGAAGACCTCAATGGATGCTTCCGCAGGGAGAGCTGCAACAGAGATGCTTATTGTGACCTTTGAGCTCTTTGGGGTTTTCTATACGCTCAATTTGATTTAACTTTCTTCCTTTATATAATCATGATATATAATTGTATTAGCTTTACATAACTACAATGAAGTACCTGAGTCAATTAACTTAAAAAAGGAAAAGGGTTGTTTAGCACATGATTCTGGGAGTTTCAGTCTAAAAATTGGGCCTCTGGTTAGGTCAGAACATCATAGCAGGAAGTCTGGTGGAAAAAAAACACTTCCATCATGGTCCAGGAAGCAGAGAGAAAGAGATGGTGAGGGTAGGGTGCCAAAATGTTATAGGCAGCTGAATTACTTAGAAATATTATAGGCAGCAAGACAGGGTTAGGTCCTCAGGGAAGCAAGTGCAGAAGACTTGCAACTGTGGGGGAGACATACACTTGCTGTCGGCCAGACAGCAGACAAAAGATTAAATAAATGCGCCCATATCCTAAGGACTGATATTCTAAATTTATTTTTTAAATAGCTCCCCATCACTCTGAGGAAGTCAGGAGTCACCATCCCAACCCCCTACACAAGAGTCCCTGCTCCTTAAGAATACCTGCTTTCTATGTGACTTGCTTCCCCATTTGCCCCGGATTTTATCAGTTTTACCTGAGCAATTAATTTTACTGGTTAACCATAGTTCTGTCCCACTTTATGCCTGTCTGCCTTTCGAGTTCCCAGTTTTTCTCACCTGGAACCCTTCCCATCCTGTGATTTTACTCTATAAAAGTCCTTATAAAAGACTGAGTCTTTGGCAACCTGCTCAGGACCCCTTCTGTCTCTCTCAGACAGAGGCTTTCTTTCTCTTTTCTCTTCCATTCCTAACATGCATTCTTCGATTTTAGAAAACACGAACTTGTTCCTGACATATAGTAGGTCCAGAGTTTCATTACCCTGTATGAAAAATATCATGTGAAAGTGTGCCTCCCTTCTAAAGATCCATGGCACCTCCCAAGAACACTCTGGGGATAAACGCTGTCACAGACTTCTGGAGAACACTCACTCCAAACAGTGGTAATACCAGCCGATAAATGTATAATAGACATGTACATAGTTCAGAGAACAGTTATAGAGACCACCCGGGTTCAGTTCATATGGTTTCTAGCATTTAGGGAATTTAGGGATGAGTATTTTACAGATACGAAACTTCTCATCCATAATCAAATCTAAGTTGCAGTTGCAGCAAAGAGGAAAGTATTAAAAAGCATTCATGTTTCTCTTAGTGAGACTCTCCAAGAAGACTTGGGAGCAAGGACAAGTAATTTATTTGAGAAAGAAAGATGACATTAAAAAGACAGGTGTGTCACAGGCAAGGGACACAGCCAGTAAAGCTACACAGCCAGTAGAGGTGCTCTACCCAATCACCGGCTTAGTGCGAAACTGATGTTTAGTCCACAGGTAACCTCTGGGAGACAAGTCTGCAAACACACACCTCAGAAGTTTCTCACCAGAGCGGGGAGAGACTTGTGTAACATAGGCACCCACTCCTGAGGGTCATTGGTTCAGTTCATTCCTCAACAGTGTTAGTCCTTGGGCATTGCTAGATTA